GCAGGAGATGCTGAACTGCAAAATTGTCCTGCCAGTGCAAAGCTACCCAAGGGGTGACCACCGCTTGGTTCATGATGCGTTTAGTGCGTGTGCTTCTGCATCCCAGGCAGTTCGGCTTTTTCTAGCAGCAAATGCCGTACACATTACCATCCTTTTCTGCAAATTTCTTTGCCCACCACAGACTCTTCAGCTTATTTTGCCCACCCCTCCTACATTAAAACCACACCTGACCTGGAAAGGAAAATCATTCCTTGCATCGGTGCTGCCTGCAGCACCCATCCCTTGTCTCACCAGTTTCTGGTCATTTAACAGGAGTGTTCCCAGGGGGGAATTCCTCCAGTTTAATAGCCCAGGAGCTGTGAGATCCCCTTGCTTCATGCCTAGATCAGACCACTGCTGCAAGCTGATGCTCTGCTTGGACCCTGGCTCTAAGCCTCCAGGCAGGATCAGTGCGTGGGCAAAGTGGTAACTTGGCTGCCTCTGGTCAGCCATCACCCACCCTGCTCAAAAACTTTGGGAGAGGATGAAGGCAGGGAATACCTGTGTGGTCGTGAGCGAGCTGGCAGACCTTCCTGAAGCGATACCCGTGGGGGCTGAGCCAGTAAATGATGTCGTTGTGGTAGGGGAAGATGCGGAGGCGCTGGTGCACCATGTGGCATAGGTCATAGACAGCCTGGATGTAGGTGTTTTTCCTGGGGAGAGAGGAATGGTGGAAATTTGTAAATTTGGGACCGTCACAACAAGCAGTTTGCCCACTTCCCTTGCGAGCTGCAAACTTTCTGCCAGGGTTTGGGGCAGCCAGCGCTGACCTGTTGGTCTGGCAGTTGCTGTGACAACTGAAGGCACATTTCATAATGCTATCGAGAGTCATCAAGCTGACGTGCTCGAAGAGCTCCACCGGTTTCCTGTCTGTGATCAGCTGTTCCCATTTATCCTAGGGTGCAAAGGAGACAGAAATGAGAAGGCAAGGGACAGTTCTGCATGATTTGCAGTCACCCTCTGGTTAAATGAGTGCTCAGCTAGGGATACATCTCAGAGACATGGAAAAAAGGAGAGGATCTCTTAGTTGCCATCAAAATCCCAGAAGGCAAGAGCGGGGTGGTTAATAGGAAATTTGCCTCAGGCAGCTGCTACTCTCAGATCCTGGCAGCAGTGAGCCCTGGTACACCCCACCCTGGGACAAAGGCACCCTGGTGAAGCCCAGGACGGGCACATTTCTGGGTGACGCAGCATGTTACCAATGTGTTTCTTAGGGTTCCGTGTGTTTCCCGCACAAGGGCAGCATATGTCGGCACTGGGCTTCACCGAGTCTGTGTTTTCTGTCTCTCTCTTACAAGCACATATGACTGTGGTGCCTCTGGTGTCTAAGATGCAAGCTTCCATCTCACGACCTCTCTCCCACTGCGTTTTCCCAGCATATAACACAGGAGCTCTTGCTCAACTCTTCCCATAGGGGATCCCTAAAGAAACTATAAAGTGTCTCTCTTGCCTGGCAGACATGAAACAGTGTCAAATCCTCTGTCCCTTCGTGGCTGGAAGGAATCAGTGGACTCAAAAGCTGAGAAAGGGAGGAGATGGAGCAGCATGGTCACATCCGAGCTCCCATAGCATGAAACCAGGCTGGGGAACAGGGCTTATATGGACAGACTTACGTCCTTAGCACATGCAAAGATTGCCACCTGGTGGCATGGGCTCCCACATGCACTGCAAGGGATGACAAACTGCCAAGCACCTGTGTGCACAGCAAAAGCTCTCCTGGTTCTCCCTTCCAACCCAAAACATTCTATGATTCTCCAGCCCCCAGCTCCTGGCTGCTCCCTGGGCCGGTGGGAGAAAGGACAGCCACAATCCATGTGGAGCTGCTGGGGAAGTTGGGTGGAGGGAGGCAAAGGACGAGGAATAGATCTGGCACCCAGACTGCTGGTGGTCCATGTCCACAAAGCCTGGTGCCCCTCGCCTGTAATTCCTACTGGCTTCCATCATGCCCAGCACCAATGGATGAAAGAACAGTGCAGTTTCACTGTGTATTAGGCAAGGCAGGGATTGCAATCCAGTCATGGATATGTTGACAGCAAATGATACCTTTTAACCTTAGGTCACAGTGTAACTCTGCTCCAACCTTTGTATTTTGGGGATTTATTATGAACTTTTACTTACTTCAGTTTTTCATTTACAAAAAAACCGCCTTATAAGAAGTTGCAGTTGGGATCGAGATTATGCACAGTTTGGGGACGGCAGTAACACTAATCCTCACACCTTAGCCCAAAGCAGTACCAGAGACATAGTCCCTACAGGGAGGCTCAACCTGCTCATTGCTTCCAGCCTGCGGGCAGGGATTTGTGGTGGCTCAGAAACCTCAACCGCCACAGCCTGTCCTTACGCTTACCAGGCTGTGAGTAAGGGCACTGCAAGAAAACCCTGCTCCAGCATTTACCTCCTAACCAGTCAGGATCAGGGAAAAGAAAACAGGGCAGAGAGAGGAGCACCAGATATGAGTCCTACCAGCATCACGTTAGTAGACTCTGCCATCAGGGCCACGTACGGTTTCAAGACGTCGTAATGAAACCCCGGAGTCAGGAGTTTTCGATGTTGGTGCCATTTTGGCCCATGTAAGATCAGCAGCCCTTTCCCTGGGGAAACACAGGCACGGCATGTTTTGCTAGGCACAAGCAGGCTGCTTTCACCTGCCTGCGGACACAGCCTCCGCCTTGCAAGGAGCATGATTAAAGCTGCTGTCTGAGCTGCCATGAGAGAGTGCTTCCAAATGTTGCCGTCAGCTCCAGGGTTCCCCGGGCTGAGCAAAGCCCTGCTCACTGAAACCACACAACGCTGCCTCCAAAAAGAAACACCAGCACTGCTGGAGCTGAGAAGTTTGGATCAGCAGGTGCGTTTGTCACCGGTCCTCCACTGACTCTGAGCTTCTCCCATCGCCACCCTTCGCTAACTATGGATGTGTAAGTGGGTCTCATTTGTACATATGACTACATCTGAACTTTCCTCGAATCACAAAAAAATAGTATTATTTAGTACCTTTAATACCTTTTTCAATAAATGGAATAATTTCAGGAAGCTTTTAGCTATAACTGCACCGAGGAACAAGCACAATGCTGTTTATTTATAGCATGCTCTTGACTAACTTCAGAATCATTCCTGGTAGACAAAGCCCTGAGAATACATACCAATCCATGGGGCAAGGTGTTTATAGCTGATGTTATCCTTGGGATCTGTAAAAAAAATCATCAAGAAAGAGAAAAGAAAATGGTTAATGTTTCACTAGCACCAATCTACTGGTTTGCACCTTAAAGGTCCCTCTGGGCTCTCACTTTTGGTTGGGTATGAAGCAGAATCGGTGGCATCCCTGCAGAATTCAACAGTATTTCACAACAAAAGAACACTGTTTGGCCCAGCTGCAAGAAACACATCTAAAAGCAGATGCCCAGGCTGGAATAAACAAGAATATTGGTAGTTCAAAGTCTGTGCTGTGTGATAAACGATTAACCTCCCCGGCAGCACAGTTTAGCACCTCTCTCTCTCTCTGCACTAAAGATATGGCTCTGCAGTAGGAACCAGGGGTCTGAGCTGAGAAAAAAGCTTCCAGCTGTCTTCTCCTTGCTGGGGTCAGGCACTGAGAAGATAACTTTTCAAGGAATACTTGAGGGCGTTTGATTTGCCAGATTTGGAGGGGTCCCCATCACCCCTGCAGCCCTGTGCCTGAAGCACCAAGGGCATGGCATGAAGGAGGGGTATCTCTCCATGCCTTCAGATGATTTCTGCAAGACAACCTCTTTGCGAAACCCTGCCTTGCTCTGAATTTTTAGGCTGGTGTGGGAGATCTTCAGGCTACGGTTGTTGCTCCGCAGCTGAAGGCATCATCTTCTCACCTCCTCTGGCCAACAGAACCTTGGCATAGGTGGGGTCGGTGACAACCAGGTAGGCTGAGAAACTCCCGAACCAGAGAGGGTGAGCGTACGGGTACTTCTGTGCCCAGATCTCCACCTTGTCCAGCACCTCTTCCTCCTTGAGAAACTAGTTGTGGAGAAGTAAAACGAGAAAGAATACATAGATTCGGAGAAAAAAAAATAATCTCCTAATACACTGTCTTAAAAAGCTCAAGGTCTTTCTGTATCGCAAACCCAGGTAATGGCAAACAAGGTGTTGTCCCTCTGGGTTTGTGGAGCATGAGAATTAGAGATGCTTGTTACTTTTAAACCTCATATAAAATAACTCTTAGTTATCAATTGACCCTAACCATGGAGAACATCCTTAGGGACGGTGGTGGTACCTATCAGTGCACATACATTATCTGCTTTTTTTCCATGGCCACCTCAAGGAAGACTCAGATTTGCCCCAGACAGCATCTGCATTTTGTGGCGTGCAAATATGCTCTCACTTGCACATGGCTGAGCAATTAGCACCCTGCAGTCATGAGAAAATGCGGCAGCACTTTGACAGCAGTCCTAGGACGCTGCACGCTGAGGAGTAACATGAGCACCAGCATTCCTATCAGCAACACTGCAGGTTCACTCTTTGAAAGTGATCACCGTTTTATTGCTTTTATAGCCGGTGTTATTGTATATTAAACAGGCAATAGCCAAAGAACGAATGGAAAGATCAGTAGAAAGATCCAAAGCCACAGACAGAGAAAAAAAGATCACAGAGACAAAATCATGTAAGAATTCCCTTTTCTTTGGACAGACACTACCCTGCCACAATATGAAGGGGGAAGGATTTTGGTGAGCTGGGGCTGACATAGCCACTGCTGCTTCGACTTGAAGCTTGAAGTTCAATTACATCCGCATACTGGTGTAGAAATCAGTCACAACGTCACCCTATTGACTGAGTCAAGTGAATATTTGCTCAGTCGCTTTGGTGGTGAGTTAGCTCAGCTCAGCTTTTAGTTTGGCTAGTGTTTCTCAACCCGGGGGATGGCTTGTACTCAAATAATCACCCAGGTGAGGCCCGTCTCGGAGACGATGCTCAGGAGCTGCGGGGCATCTGCCGGGGGACTGTGCAGGCTGTCTGGGGGCATGGCCAAGCTCTGTGCACTGAGGCTGAGTCCCCTTCCCCACGGGACCGAGGGGTCCCGGCAGCATGCCCCGTGTATCTCCCGCATTTGGCAGAATGATGAACTACATCCAGTTATCATTTATGATAGAAAGTTGTCATTCAACGTCTCTTGCTCAAGTTCAAGATTTTGGACTTATTAAAGAGAACCATCAGTTTCTCTGATTGCAGGGACTGAATTTTGGGGTAAAAGGAGGCAGCCCTCCCCAGCGCCCACCCCTTCAGCAATGCCAGCAGAAGCGGAGCTTGGCACTGTGCCTTTAGACGAGTGATACTTGAACATGTGAAAGTCCCTTTGATACAGCTGCTTGTGCTTCCTCCCATCACAAAATCGCAGAAAGCATAAATGGAAGTAACTGGGAGATGCTGAGCAAGCCTCGCTGGCAGAAGTCCTAATGCTTAGAAGCCTTTGCAGCCAACCTTGTTTTCAGAGCGCTGGCCCCAGTTTGTGCTACCAAGAACCGCCCCTGTGCTGGCAGAGGGCAGGATGGGTTTATTTAAGAAGAGAGATTACCCCCAAGGTGAGTAACCTCCACCTGCTGTGCCAAGCAATCCCACAGGCGGAGGGTGTAAAGTCCTGAGGGCTGCGGAGGAACAGGAATGGAAAGCTCCTGCTTCTTAACCAGGGCTACAGCTTCCAGGATCTGGATGAAAGACCATCTACTTCTTCCTCCCTTGGGGGCTTGAAAAGAAAAGTATAACCCCCGCTCGGGTCTAAGAAAGAAAGGTAAAAGCCTCATCTCACGCAGAAATGCAAGTTTTGAAATGTATCCAACATTAAAAGCATCTGGGAAGAGGCGCTTAAAGGCACTTTTAACGACTATGCGCCGACAGCAATTGAAACAGAATACACAGGAGCTGAAATCTGACCACAAAACTGCTCTGTGCTCAAACAAATCCAGGCTGGCTCCCCTCCAGCAGATGCAGGCAAAGGGCTGCTGAGGGACTGACAGCCCCCCTGCTGCAAGGCAGCTCCTGCTCTCCTCTGCTTCCCACCAACAGTGGCCTTGGGAAGTCGGTTTGGCCAGCTTGGGGCCAGCACTCCGGGCGTTAACTAAGTCGTGGTGCTGCAGTGAGACTGAACAGCTCTACCCAACCTCTCCTGATATTTTAATGTCATTTCTACCAAGTGATTTGGATAAGCAGAGGCTAACACCTAAGAATGCTTTAAAACAAAGTGATGTATTCCCAGGAGACCCACCCAAAGCATGACCATACATCGACCATATACCTTAGGGAATATTCATCCATGCCATGAGTGCCCAGAACAAGGCTTGCTTATGTACACAGGCTTAGGTAGCCATGGGTTTAGTTAGCCATGGCTTTAATGCAACCTTAAAAAGATCCGTGGCCCCTGTGCCAGACGCTATACCCAGGATGTGTTTTCTGGCTTCAATGTGACTCAGAACAATCACTGCCCTGTCTGGCTCACCCGGCCGCGAGGCCGATGCAAGCTGGCACGAGAGAGAAGATGCCTCCGGATGCTGGGAGCAGCGTGCATATATCTCATATATTTGAGATACTAAACTGGCCTGAATCAAAACTGGCAATTAATCACTTTAAATCAACAGAATAGGAAATGTCAGTCCTCTCCCTGTACACAGCTCTCAGGTCCTCCTCTGAGATGTGTGTGAATGTTGTATTCGGCACATGCCCAGAGCATTGCCCGTTTCCTCACTGGCTCAACACACCACCAGGCTCTGAGGAATTCAGCAACATTTAATCAGCAAATGAAACAGGAGTTCTTCAAAAAATACCATCTGAGGTAAATGTCGAGCCGTAAACAACCTAGCCATGATGGGAGCGAGCAATTGGCACAAATGGTTAAATCCCATTCCAGGATAAATAGTCACAACGGACAAACAAGTGAACCTACCTTACTTAACTGCAGTTTTAAAGTCTAACTGGCAGCGCAACGAAGCCCGGAACTGGCCCATCTTCATGCTTACATTGCCAAAAGGCTGCCTGTCCCATCCAGCACAGCAAAACTGGGGCACAGCGACAAGCCCTAGGAGGTCCTCTCCAGATTTCCCAGCTACTTTTCAGGGTGCCAGTTATTTAATGTGCTGCAGATTTGGCCAGAGCAGGGCATGAGCAGAGCCCAGGAGCGGTCAGGGGGATCTGGAGTAGCCTTTAGCATGTATGGAGAAGCCTTTCGCACCAGGCAGCTCAGTTACTCCTCGCAAAACTGCCGATGAGCCATGCAAATCTGTTTGCCAAGGCAGCCACACTGATGCGTGCAGGTAAGCACATACCTTGGGGAATAGTCATCCACACCATGAGTGCCTGGAACAAGGCTTGCTTATGTACAGCTAGCCATGGCTTTAACACAACCTTAAAAAGATCTGCGGCCCCTGTGCCAGATGCTACACCTGGGATGTGTTTTGTGGCTTCAACGTGACTCGAAACGATCACTGCCCTGCCTGGCTCACCCGGCCGCGAGGCCGATGCGAGCTGGCACGGGAGAGAAGGAGCGGGCAGAGGCCCGGAGCAGCGTGCATCTGCTCAGCCCTGACTTCCATAGGAGCAGAGAGGTGACAGCAGAGCCTGGCCGGGATGAAGCAGCGTGGCTCGGCGGCCTCCAGCACCAAGGCCGGGTTATACCCCATGCCCACCATGCCCACGCCACGTTATATTATTGCTTTCTTATGGGGAAAATCTTTTTAGTATGGGGAAAATCTTTTTAGTATGGGGAAAATCTTTTTAGTAGGGCCAGCAGTGACAAGACAAGGGGTAATGGTTTTAAACTAAACCAGGGTAGGTTTAGACTAGATATAAGGAAGAAG